CTAGACAAAGACAAAAACGTAACGAAGAACCTCGTTGGAGACAGTGACATCATTCATGGAGGTACGTCATAAGAACTGATGAACCGAATCCAGTACAAAAACTGGAGCTGCTCTCGAAAAAATCGCTCGAGTGCTTGCCAGCATTTTGTAATAATGGAAAAATAAAGACGTCGAAAACAGACGAATCCTCGGTACAATTCATCTTCACGATCATGGTTTTGATGGACACCATTCCCACTACCAGTTTTCTTAATAACTGGAGGAGGACTAAGCTGCGCAACAAACATTCTGAAGCTGTTAAGTTTAAAGTTAACTTTTTGGTTATTGCCTATTACATTTTTTTGCGGCAGCGTTTTATGTGAAATTCAACTATAATGATGCTGAGACATTCGCTAAACTCCGGACCGCAGGTGTATGCGGTGGGGAACGAACGCGCGCTTTTGTCCTTACCGGTGAGTAGCGCACTTCACACCACACCATCCGGGTCCTTCGTTTTGCCTGTCTCTCAGCTAGTTCTATTGATCTTTTGCCATCAGCAATAGCCTGCCAAAAGATCGATAAAACTAGCTGAGAGACAGGCTAAACGAAGGACCCGCATGGTGTGGTGGTGAACGCGTTACTCCGCGGAAAGGAATAACGCGTTCGTTCACCACCGCAGACGCCTGAAGCCTTTTATCAATTTATCTTTTTCTACTTTACGCAACCTGACATCACGAGCGCATCTCAACACTTCTTCAATTCGATTCGTTTTCACTCATCCGTCGTCAGTGAAAGTTAGGGTTTCTGGTCTTCGCAGTCCTCGTGTGATGGTCGAGTCGAACCTATTTCGAATTCTGGGATAGCCGTGCTAGAGCATTCCGAGATATTCATCACAGGAAGGCGCTATTCGGCTGATCTCAGACCAGTTTGTACCATTTTCCAGACCTTGGGGAATAGGTGATTTGATAGCCCCGGTACGGGGTTGATTAGAAGCCGAAATAAGCTTCACTCATACATAAGAGATAATGGAAAATGCCCTCTCTTCGTTGTCGCACAGTGTGATTTTTAGAGAAAATAAATTGAAATCATAGCTAAGACGAGCTTTCATCAATAAACCTTTGTTATCGATGATGATCTCTGCAAAGAACAGCTCGCTCTTATTTTGAAGGCAATTTTCTAAAATCTACTCATCGTTAGTGACAGTCTCGTCGTTCATCTTACTTTCTCTATTTGCCGCACATCAAGCACACTACACTAGAACAAACGTTGCTTTTTCTCTTTTCTCGTTGTTCAGAGTATAAAATTTCATATCGGTCAAAAGTAAACTCATGTCATGTTGGTAAGTTGTTATCAACAAGCCTCTCGATCTGGAAAGTAGTCCGACGTCTCTATCTGGTAAATCAAATAAGAGTAAACCAATACGAGGATACATCACCGTTCCGGCATCAAACTAGTCGCATGGTGGCAAATCTCCATCTAATCCACAAGCGTGGTGATAGCCTAGAGTGATGACGAACTAGGGTAGACTTTAGCTAGGCGGACTTGGGGACTCCAAGGTGCGACAATGACTAAACCCTCAAAACTCCGAAAAATGGAAATTATGCCGGGTCCGCACAACTACACAAGGCGGGCCGTCCAAGTATCCAAGTAGTTGGGTAAAGTTATCAGACAAGTAGAAGGATATTATCGATAGAATTGCAAATAGGAAAATGAATTTAAAGTTAGATACTCGTTGTAGAAGCCCAGTGCTTTTACAAACAGCTGGAAACATTTGTGTAGAACGTCATGGGGATTCGCCCTCAAAAAGGAGTCCAGCCATAATTCGTGGCAACAGCCTTTGTAATCGGTTCAATTAATTGTTGAACACACGATCCCGTATACGACCTTAGGGCTATGGATACCATGTGACTAAGACAAAGGTTTATTCAAAGTCATCAAAAGTATTATAGGAGTGTGATGCTATGATTATTCAGTTCACGCAAGTGAGAAAAACGAAAAAGAAATTCCCACTTATGCCGTCGACTAAGGAGCTGAGAAGCACCTATATATGGCAAAATCTGGAAAATTAGTTGCATACGATACCTAATAGTTCTTAACGAGGACCGATGGACAAGAGGTGTCGGCTAGCGAGAACCATGAGATGTAAGGCGTAGGACAACAGCACCAACAACCACATGCCTTCTGAGCGAAGGTGAGTGCGCAAAGATTGACCGCTTCCCTTATGAAATTCATAAACTGTATGTTGGACGACTTTTGTTTACAATTTTGTTGCATCCCACTTTAAATCTTATTTTTTGCATAACTGCTGGCCTTGTATGGATTCGCTACCATTTAATTTAAGACAATTTTAAGATGGTTCGCACAGTTTCAGCTAGCCATGTGACTTGCTCATAATTAAACTAGTGTGCGTTTATCAGAAGTTCACGACCATTAGAAATGGATAATCGACGCTAATCATTTGAAAAATGTCCGAGAAGCGATATAAGAGCTCAAAGTTAACTAATCAGCACAAGTCGATCGATATACACTGGAAAGGTGGAAAAGCTTCATAAGTGGTTGCAACACATTGAACGACGAAGAGAAGCTTGATGTTGTGAAGAGGCCCTTAAGCACCTTTTACCGAACAAAAGCCAACCTATTTCTGTTCGTACTGTGACGACAAAAAGGAGGATAGACCACTTCTGGCTCAGTAGTTTGACCGCCTTAAAGCTTGTAAACCCTTCCCGAAGGCAACATTCTACCAAAAGAAGATTGCACCGGAAGTTTGGTGATTTCCACTAGCATAAAAAAATGAAGCTCTCGGCGTTGAATCAGTCCTTGAGAGATGTGCCATGCATTCCTCATTAAGCTTCGTTTGGTGGTGACTGAATGCATATCTGGCCTTTGCAATGACTTGCGGTGGCCTACCGATATATCGAGCCAGTGCTGCTGTCCTCCCAGACAGGTCTGGTACCAATTTGCCGAGCCAGAAGGGATGGAAGGCTTAGTGGACCGGGCTCGCTGGAATCGATCCCATGTGTATGTTGTAGGGCGCCTCCGACTACTGCGCCACACGTGCCATTGCAGCATTAGTCCTAAAATTAAAAAACCTTCAGCCCTGGAAAAAGGATCACAGCAGAATCGTACTTGAAGGAGTCCGACGTTTCCAACATGAAGCCTAGCAAAGAGTAAACCAATACCAGGATGCACCACTATCCTGCTATCAAAGTCACATAGTGGCAAATTTCCCTCTGATCCACAAGGGCTGCGACTGCCTGTGGTGATGACGACCTCAGTCAGACTTTCGGAGGGCTGACCTCGGGATTCCAGTGAACCACAATGGGCTAACTAGAAAATCTCCGAGAAATGGAGATCATGCTGCGGCCCGCACAACCAGTGAGGACGGGCATCCAAGTATCAAGTAAGTACTGAGGACCATGTCACCGCAAATGAAGTCAAACTTGTTCAGTGGTTTACAGAGATTTCTTAACATAATTCTTACAGAATAAAGCATAGGGTTGTTGAGATTTGAGGCAAGCTGGTAATCTTAGATAGGCTCCGAACCTGTGATTATCTTTACCGAGGGCTCACGTGCTATGTACCGCACTGAGGCGTTTTGGTTTCGCTTTTCCTCAGCCATTTTTTTAATCCTGATGGTGCTATCAACAACTACCCATCAACGGTAATGATCCGGGAAGAACAAATCGCCCTTGAGTCCAGTTAAGCTAAAGCTGTACTCGAAATCTAAATATGTTAACTTTCATTTACTGCCTATTCTAGTAATATCTACGGACTATCCTAACATAGCCAGTGGAGAGCCATAGACATACCTCTGCTTGAATACTGGGCTCCGCACTTAGGGAAGGCTCTTCTGTGTCACTAGATGACGATAACATCATAGAGGAGACTTCTTCATTTAACAAGTCCTGTCAGATTTTTATTTTATATTAATTTTATACCACACAATTTACAGGGCGTAACAATATTTCAAAAATGGACTTCCCTCTAAACTAGACATGACAAATCAATATGTATTTTACCACTGATAAGCTAACACGAGGTTGGTTAGAAAATTCAGCCGGCTAACATTTCGGCGCTTTCGCCTTGCCCACAGTTGTTCCCTCTTCAAATGTGTCTTCGTGATCGCATCGAATCGAATCCAGTGAGGCACCGTTCAAACCGAACTAACCTCACTCGAAAGTGCTCTTTTGTACAGGACGGTCCTTATTGTACTGATTATAATTTGTTGTTAATCATTCATATTTTATTATTTTTGTTATATTATCATATCTGGTAATCATTTACTTTTCTCCGGACACCCTATACTCCAATATGTATTCTTTTATTGACAACCTAACGCGAGTTCCTGACACATGTATAGGGTGACATGTATTTCAGTCACCTTCAACGATTCTTCATGAGGTCGAATGCATGGCGGATCCTCCACGGATTGACCAACGCCCAGAGCATTATTACCATTACCATTACTATTATTGTTGCCACTACTATTAATATTATCAATATTATTACTATTATTATTATTATTAGTAGTAGTAGTAGTAGCAGTACTAGTTAATTGCTGGTGCGAAGCATAACTGAGATTCCGAGTTTACCCCATATCTCAGCATCCCTGTGGGCCATCTTCGTTGTAAACATTCCGTCTTTCCTAGAAAGAATTTCCTAATGAACACTCAACTAGTTCCAAAGAAATTTATTAACCACAATACACTGTCACTATAAATGCTTCAATAGATTCTACACTACAGGAAGTACAAAAAAATCCTTCGCTTCGTGAACATAAAACTAGCTTTCTGTACTATCCTAACTGGAAAATGCTCCTACACAGAGGAAATCTTGAATACTTGAGAACACCTATTAAATAAATCTACAGCGCAAATAAGATTAAATAAACGCTGAAAAGACTATAATTTACTTATAACAAATACAATACATCTATATAAATGTCGAAGCTTCATAGAGTTACTTCTAAAGAAAGCACTTGTAGGTTTTCATGAAAAACTACGATAACCTTGTGAAACATTTTAGTAATATGTCTCGTGCTCAACCCATCCTCCAGGCCATCTTCTGATACAATAACGACGAGCTTCGTCATAGATGAAGATGAGAACAGAGAATGGAAGAGCGCAAAACCACCAAGAGAATCTGAAAAGGTGTATGTTGAACAGCTTATGATGCAGCTCATCTGAATGATAAGGAAAAAAATCTTAAAAAAAACCGTAAAACCCCGTAAAAAACCAAAAAAAACCTTATCTTACCTTAAACCGTACATACGCAATCCGTTATCAAGCCCTGGACAGTAACACATGAACCATGCAAGCGCTGTTTCGAATACCAAACCAAAATTGAGTGTCCAATTTGTCATCCCCTTAACAAATGCCATAGAGAATGAAAAAAGTGATAAAATTAATTCTGCCGACCTGTTGGACAATAGAGTTACGACGAGTTTTGGAGATAATCAGATCAGCCCACTGCACAACCACTATAGAAACAAAATAGGCCGTTTGACAAGTGTACTCAAGGATCTTTCGGTTGGCATAGGTCTGAGATGAACAACTCATATTGAAATTTGTGGAAAAAAAGTGGCGCCACACGTACCCATTCTTGCCCATAGGAATCGAGGACATTGTTATATGCACGAGAATCCCACTGAGCTCTAAGTTGATAGAGATCTTTAGGCCAGAATCCATTATCGGCCATTATCCAAAAATAAGTAAAGAAACCAGCGGAGGCCTGAAACGTTTGGCTTACTGCATACAGAGTAAAAAGGATATCAGTTTTCAAAAACATAAAAATAAGCGAGAATATGAAAAACCCCAACGAGAAGTAGATCAAGGCCACCTGAATCATGCCAATTTGACCATACGCAAGAGAAATGAGACGTTCGTTTACCAACTTATCACGTATAGGATCGCGAGGCTGTCGTTTCATAATATCAGATTCTGCTTCTTCGTAAGCCAAAGAGATGGCCGGCACCTGTGATTTCAACATGAGGGAATATTTTAGCAACGGGATTTGTAAACCAAAACTTCATACCATGTCAGTTCCAAGATCAATGCAAAGAATAGTGACCGTTCCAAGTGGAAGTGGTATCCCAAACAACATGTAGGTGAGAAATGGCGAGATTTCAGGAATGTTGGAGGTCAGAGTATAAGCGATAGACTTCTTCAAGTTGTCGAAAATAAGACGTCCTTCTTCCACTCCAACGACGATCGACGCGAAATTATCATCAAGTAAAATCATGTCCGCAGCTTGTTTCGAGACATCAGAACCAGCAATGCCCATCGCAACTCCTAACAATGACGTTTAAATCAACATTTTTCCTACTTGATGAGAAAGCAAAACAACATTCAGATAGGTACCACGTACGTGACATTTTAATATGCTATTTAAGTTTCTCCCCGAACGGTTTACCGCCTCATTGTGGCTGGAAAGTGTTCCTGGGTGTACGGTTGCGATGTACAGAGCAGGGATTCATTCACCCAGCAGGATGTCCCAAGCTAAGAAGGAATCCAGTGTTTCCACCAAGAAGCCCAGCTGATAGTAAACCAATACCACGATCCGCTACCGTCCTGGTATCAAATAGTAGCATGATGGCAAATCTCCCTTTGATTCACAACGGTGACGACTGCTTACGGTGGTAACGACCTAGGGAAAACTTTCGCCAGGCTGACCATGGGGTTTAGGGAAACACAATGACTAAACCAGCAAAACTCCGAAAAATGGAGATACTGGTGCCCGCACAACCAGTGAGGTTGGGCCGTACAAGTATCCAAGTAAGTAGGTATCTAAGTTTCTTAGTGCGAACATCACAAAAAGAAGATGAAAACTTACCAATATCCGCTTTCTTTAGCGCAGGCGAATCATTAACACCATCACCAGTGACAGCAACAATTTGTCCCTGCTTCTGGAACCCTTCCACGATCATCAATTTTTGTTGGGGAGAGGTACGAGCGAAAACGATTTCGGAATGGTTACGGATAATCTAAACTAGTCTAATAAACTCCATAGACTTAAAGAAAACAATAAAGTAAAACATATCGCCACAAAGCTACAAACCTCAGCTAACTGATCCTCACTCATTTCTCTAAGGTCTGAACCATGAACAACCGCAGCTTTAGCCTCATGTGGATCGACGTCCTCAACTGGGATTCCTCGACGAATAGCAATATCTTCCACAGTCTCAGTACCTTCACTTATAATACCCACAGACTTAGCAATAGCCTAAACGCTACAGTTAAACTGGAATGGTACTGCTAGTGGGAGTACAAACCTTTGATCTCCTATTTCTCTCTTTGTTAATTTATTAGTTTATATAAACAATTCCACATTTCTGTTCTTTTGGGTATGCGCATTCCATAGTCTTAGACAAAATTGATGCAACTTCCAAAGTTAGTCTACGTCAGAGAAAGAAAAACAAAGACAACAACGCAATACCTTAGCAGTGATTGGATGATCACCGGTGACCATGACAACCTTGATACCAGCCGATCTGCACTTGGCTACAGCGTCCGGCACAGCAGCACGTGGCGGGTCAATCATAGACATAAGCCCCACAAAGCGTAAGCCCCTTAGGGGAAAATTGATCTCTTCTGTATCAAACTTGAAACCTTTCGGAAACTTATCAGGCGGTAGGTGAAATTCGCAGAATCTGAAATATTGAGACATGAACCACCATTGCACAAAGATTTGTAAGCTACTTAAATAATCATGTCAGCTTTCAAAAATATAGTTGGCGGCTTTCATTAACACCAACCCAAGCACACGCTCTCCCATGCCTCCCAACTCAAGGTAAGCTGTGTTGAAATCGGCGCGCATTTTGTCATCAAGTGGTTCTTCTTTTCCGTTCAGAAGTAACGTTGAACAAACTGCAAGAACACTACTACAATGACTCGGCAAGCCTAACCAATAATCACACGTAAAACCTTGGATGGATGTATTCCTTCATAGGAATAAAACATAAAACAACATATGCTACCATAAACCTTCCAACGGTTTACTGCCTCATCGTGGCCAGGAGGTGTTCCTGAGTGTTGGGCTGCAATGTACAGCTAGGGGATTCATCTCACCGGTAGAGTCTGCCAAGCTTAAAAGGAGTCCAGAATTTCCAGCAGGAAGCTCAGCTAAGGGTAAACCAATACCAGGATCCACCATCGTCATGGTATCAAATTAGCCGCATGGTGGCAAATCTCTCACTAATCCACAAGGGCAGCGACTGCCTATAGTGGTGACGACCTGAGCAGACTTTGACCAGGCTGACCTCAGGACTCCAGGGAAACACAATGGCTAAACCAGCAAAACTCCGAAAAAAAAGAAGATTATGCTGGGGGCCCGCAAAACTTGTAAGGACGGGCCATCCATGGATCCAAGTATCGAAGTATGTTACAATTAAACAAGTATACGTAATCAGTATGCGAGGTAACAACACGTACCATCGAGAATTCTTTCGGGAGCTCCTTTCATGACAAGCAGATAAGAGTCATTGTTTGGTATATCATGAATTGAGACCTGAGTAGTAAAATGACAAACATTCTACATAACAGAACTAAACGGTGGAAACAGAAAAGAATATTACGTCGCATAAACACACCTGATATTTGTTGGTGGAATTAAATGGAATTTCAGCAACTTTGGGAGATTTTTCACGAACCGCAATGATATTACCAAGCGTTAGCTCAGTAAACTTTAGCAGCGCAATCTCAGATGCATCACCTGTGCAGTCACGACGAAGTATTGGAATATCTTGTTGGCCCGGTTTAAACTCAGCTCTAAACTAATTAATGCTGTTATCTCCGTTGGGAAAATATTGACCGAGAAAGTAGTATATTCCTAGCCTATTACAAAGAGCAGCAATTCGAAGAAGGGCATCAAGAGTTGGGCCACCCTTGTTACTGGCCGCGCTCGACTGGTTCTCAGTTGTGTCACACTCTTCTATCGTTTTATCGTACCTGGAAACACACATAAATTTCTGAGAATAGTTAAGGATACATTTTGAAGGAAAATATTAAAAACACTCTAAACGAAAACATACCACATATGTGCGACCGTCATACGATTTTGCGTGAGTGTCCCTGTCTTATCCGAACAGATCGTTGATGTTGACCCAAGAGTCTCTACTGCTTCCAAGTTCTTCACTAAGCAATTCTTGCTTGCCATTCTTTTTGCTGTCAAAGTAAGGCACACGGTTACCGTAGCAATTAGTCCTTCAGGTACATTGGCGACAATGATACCTAAATGAGCCATGAGAATAAGATGAATTGTTCTCAAATCGCTGAAACGAGACTAACCTATGAGGAACACAACTGCAGTGAGCCAATGGTATCCCAGGATGAAAGCAATAATGAAGAAGGAGACTCCAAGAAATACAGCTACCCCAGTTATAAGATGGATGAAATGCTCAATCTCGCGAGCAATAGGTGTCATTCCTGTGTCAAGGCCAGAAGCGAGATGGGCAATACGACCCATCACCTGGAAATAAATGAAGCATCCAAGCATTTGAAAAGAAAAAGGAAAGTAAAAAATTTAGAAGCCATCCAGAAACTTAAGCTATAAACTACATACCGTTCTATCGCCAGTATAGATGACAATTCCCTTCGCAGTCCCTTCAACCGCGTTAGTGGAGAAGAAAGCGACGTTACGAGTTTCTAGTGGATTTTCATTGGTGCACTCTGGTGATCGACTTTGTGGCTCTGATTCCCCAGTAAGAGATGAGTTATCCACCTTAATCCATCCAAACTTCTTCAACGTAAAGAAGAGGGACGATTTTTATGGTCATTCAAACACTTTTGCTTACTGAGCGGCATAAGAATTCTGCGCTAAGTCTTCTATTAGAATTCAGGTCACATACTTCTTATGCTCGAAGCGCCTGCAGCGACTATGCCCAGTTTGAATAGGATAACACGCCGCCGATCGTTTAAAGTAACGACGACTATCGACATTGATCACTTTACTAACTTTAATTTGTTGAATGTAAAATAATGGTGGACTTCGAGCGACACTTTTGAAATGCTATATAACTCAGGATGAGCAGAAATGTACTAATATATTTCTGACCACAATACAAAAGCCATCTGGCAGCGTAACATTCAACTACTGAAAGCAACAGATTCCTCAAATGCATTTCTGCTAACGGTTTGATTTCTCAATAAGCAGTTGTCGAGATGTGCAAAAAAAAAAAGTAGACCGATGGGAAAAGGCCATATGGACACGCTGGATAAGACGGAGTTTCGTCGCCCAATCGCTACAGTTCTTGCTACACTTCATCAACAATGCCACAATGCTTCTCTGCTGTGACTGTTTCGCCAGGATTCAAGAAACTTTGGTAGAAGGACTGACTAGTGTAGGAAAGGAATAATCCAACTAAAGACAATCAGGTAATCACCGCAGACTTCATATGGGGTAAAATTAGCTTCGAAAAGCGCCCAGAAGCTTCATCTCCATGAATTTATTGTACTGAACACTGTCAGCTGTTGCATAAGATTCAGTTCATATCACCTCATAATGCAACGAAAAAAAGGGTCGTTTTTATTGCACAGAAGAAGAGAAGCGTTCCACGATTTTGCGATAGAGCGTAAAAAATTGGTGCTGCATAACTCCTTATGCTTACGCACTAACAGTACTTTTCGGATAATACCACAGTCTCCAGTCTCGAATGTTAGTATCGCGTTTCTGCATTGGTCAGATAACATACTGCCTTATAATAAGGATCAAAGGTGTGAGATTAAACTTTGAAGAAATCAGAACATTCACTGGATTCTGCCTTGAGAAGCAAATAACTGCTGCGATTGAGGAGCTCTCAGAATTCTACTTCCGCTTCTAGTACAACCAAAAAGGAGTCAATTCAATGTATAAAACCAGATTTGAGAAGCCTCTGACTAATCTTCAATTTGCAGACAACACGAGCTTTAAAGTGTGCTCCCACAAAATTTCTCCAAAAACACAGGTTTGGGCATCGGTGTTAGTGACGGGCATGGATAACAGTATTCATATTCTGATAACCGGTGCACGGGATTCCTTGGCTGTGATCATGGATATTTGACACGCGCAAGAAAAATGAAAACACCAGCTGAGCTGGTTATTCAAAGCTTTCGGAGTTAACATATCCCTGAAGGAAGCGCCACGTTTTTGATATCACGACGCACCGTTAAAGGTGATTGAATGGATTTCTGCTCCGTAAAATAGCTTATGGATGCATCAAGTGAATAGTGCTAACCTCCTAGAAAATTCGGTACTAATTTGCTGACCACGGAGGAATGGATGGCTCGGTGAGCCTGGGGTGCGCGTTCGAACCAGCGGCCACGCGTGCATTGGAGGGACCGCTAACCATTACGTGACACGCTCCCAAGTTTAGTATAGATCAATTAAAACTCACACACAATAGAAAAACATGGAACGTATCCGAAGACTCGGGCAAATATATGGAATTATATCACCGATAGTTGAGAAAACTAGCAAGTGATGTACACGTCTTTCGCTCCACAACGTTACTCAGGCGTCCTCGGCTAGTCCATGGAGAATGCATTGAGACAATGACAATACTGAGAAAAAGTTTGAAAAGCTTGAAAAGCTCAACGAATTTGCTTCGAATATGTAGAAATCCAGTTTCCTTAACTCGCTATTTCCTTGAAAACACCGGCCCAGTAGCAAAACAAAACAAGGAAACGTAATTCCTGTTATAAGGAATTAGCAAAGAACATACCCGCTGCAAAAACTGTCAGGATCACTACTACATCGAACAAAAGCAAAGAAATGTGGAAATCCTCTGAAGACCGTATTTACAGCCGACATAGTGTGTATATACATGTACAATTAATATACATATATGTATACAAACATGTATATATATACCTCTATATGCTGAAGTCTATACATGCATAAGTACATATATACATGTGTGTATACGGATATGCAGATATAGACAAATATTCTCTGTTACACGACTCGACGTCACATGCTGTGCAGATCCCTCCATTTCTTTCGTCTGAGTTCCTTACTCGTCTCCATCAACCACGAAAACGCTCAGAACTGCGTGTGTGCCCACCACACCACTTTCTTACTCATGAATGTTGCTGAATAACAGAAAAAGTTATTAATTTCCCTTGAACCCTGAGAAAGGTCAACAACGCCGAAAGATTGGCCCATTGTATGGCGCATATGCCAGCAGGACTAATTTCTCGCCGTGCGCGGTGTGAACTGAGAAATTGGCCTTTAAAAAGGCTTCTGTAAAAGCTTTTGTAATGTGGACCTTTTCAAAGCAGCAGGTTTAGTATAACATCTGTATTCTATAAGCTAGCGATTGAATACAAGAAATGGAGAAAATACACACTTTGTGGCAAAACAAACATAACGCGCATAGATATCAATGCATGTGGTCAATTGCGTTAGCAATTTCAGTCGAGATTAAACTATTCAACCTGGTAGTAAAACGGTCGCTTAACTTAAAGATTAGAGCAAATCATTACTGCAACATGCTATCCACGTAAAAATCAGGACGTACCTTGAAACCGAAAGCAGAGATCACCCGTATATCAGCTGGTACCCGATCTCCTCCTTTCACCTCAACTATGTCACCGACTACAAGCTCTTCAGTACGGATCTGTTGCTTCTGCCCATCACGATGAACAAGGGCGAACTAAAAAAGGTACTGCAATAATGATCATGCGAAAGCCAAATTATTGGCCACCATTTCAGATCTACTATTTGAAATACTCACTTGGATATTGTATGCCACGTCTTCACTACTTGTGTGGGTCCAGCATAACTTTCATTTCTTAGGAGTTTTGCTAGATTAGCCATTGTGGTTCCCTGGAGTCCCGAGGTCAGTAACTCCAAAGACTGCCCCACGTCGTCACCACCACATGAAGTCGCTGCCCTTGTGGATCAGAGAGAGGCCACCATGCGACTAGTTTGACACCTGGACGGCGGTGGATCCTGGTATTGGTTTACTCTCAGCTAGGTTTCCTGATGGAAGCGCTGGACTCCTTCTCAGCTTAGGAAACTGCCGAAGGGATGAATCATCCCATTGTGCATCTCAGCACGACACGCAGGAACACCTCCCAGCCACGGTGAGGCGGTAAACAGTTGAGACACTTTGAAATACTACTGCGACAAATTAAGGATATCATCACAATAGTCTAAAATTCTGAGTTTGTAAAATACACAAAAAATAAACGTACAGTCGGAACCATATTTTTGAATGAATCCATGATCTTACTCGACTTGCTTTCTTGATAGTATTGAAAGCAACCAGTGATAACAACGACAGTCATCAGCACAATCCCAAGATACAACTAGAAACATCAACCTGTCAATAAAAGAAGTTTCAGTGAAGAACGTCTAGTTGAAAAAGCTTACGTTATCCTTGGAAGGATATTCCATGGTGAAGTAATCGACTGAGTAAGCGATGTAACAAAGAAAAGCTCCAACCTGAATTTGTGAAGTATTTACGGGCCTAATCTCCTAGCATAATCATTTACTTGTATTCACTTCCACCCAAAAATTCACCCAGAGATCCATACCCAAAGAAGAAGTGCAAATCCTCCAAAGAGATTCTTGCAGAACTTAATCCACTCCGGTGTGGTTCTAGGTGGAGACAAGGCGTTCGGTCCATCTCGGGCAAGGACTTCTGCCGCTTTTGCTCTTGTCAAACCCTAAATTCACCACCACATAGATATGGTAAAACTAACATGACGTTATTTTCACCAAACGACGATAAACATAGTTAACCCATCACGGCGTGAACAGCTGATTTACAAAGCACACAATTCTTGAAAGATGAGAGCACTTTGTCACTGTCTAAGATTTATAAACAGATAACGTGTTATCACATAACGTACTACAGAACCAGGGCGCGGGTGGCGCTGTGGTCGGAGACACCTCGCAATACACATGGAATCGATCCCCATACCCAAGGCTCACCAAGCCTTCCAGCCGTCCAGGGTCGGCAAATTGGTACCCAGACTTGTCTGGGAGGATTGCAGCACTGGCTCGATACATCTGTAGATCATCGCGAGACATTGTAAAGGCCAGATATGAAATCAATCACCTCCAACGATGCTTAATGAAGTGTAGAATGCACGGCGCATCCATCACGGATTGATCGACGCCGAGAGCGCTATCCTTTTTATTTTATTACAGAACTAAGTGTGTTCCCGATAGATACTTCTACCATAAATTGCGCCGACAACGTGAAATTCTACCGTGATATTTCATATTTCATATGTATCTTCCCTGTTCAGGACAATTCTTCTAGCTACGACAAATAGCAAGGAAGCTGGGAAAGGTGAAAGACCGTTGGCTGCGACATATTTCTACGTAATCCATTTTCGCAAACATTATCGTGATTGGATTTTTTTCTCCATAAAACAATAGGGGATAAGAACATATCAAATCAACAACTGGTTGCCCATACCTATTGGATCAGTTATCCGGACTATCACTATATTTGTAGCCACCCAGTCATACTAGCGCCAATAATGTAAGAATGCTTTGTAGCCAAGTACCCGTTAAAAAATGGAGACCATTCGTTTGAAGAAAAGATTAAAGAACATTCCGGTACTAAGACTATATGGCCTCATATAAATCTTGCTTAAAAAAGGATAAAACTCTCGGCATTAATCAATCCCTTAGGGAAGTGCCATGCATTCAACTTCATTAAGAATCGATGGAGGTGAGTGAATGCATAGCTGGCCTTTATGATGAATCGCGGTGGTATATCGATATATCGAGCCAGTCCTGCTAATCTCCCAGACAAGTATGGTACAAGTTTATCGACCCCGGAGGGATGGAAGGCTTGGTGGGCCCATGGCGTGGGTATCGGTCCCATGTGTATTGCAGGACGCCTCCAACCACTACGCTACCCGCAACCTTGCTTTAAAAGAAAGCAATAAAAAACGAAGAAACCACAGCTTCTTGACCTCAAAAAGTGAAATTCATAGCGTACATGCTTCAGCGTAGGAAAAAACGATTCGAATCTTGAACAAACGATGCAAAAGCAAAAATGTCTTTGACTTACAGTTTCGATATTCGAACCGTATCTTGCGGCCAGTTCCTCAAGAGGAACCATATGCTCATCCTAGAAAACTTTAGTAGTCAACGTTTACTTGTCTACCTGTAGAAAAGAAATGATCAATAACAAACCATTTTGACCTCCTGTTTGAGCTCATTGAGATCGTTTGCCTTATCCTTGGCCTTCCCCATTGTCTGGAAGAAGGAATAAAAAGCTCCATTATCGATCAATATATTTATGGGGCACTACGCTTACTGGTAAAAAATTACTCAAGAATTGTGGTTGGGCAAAGTGATTACGTTGCACTTCTTATGTTGGTCAAGATCGATGGAATGCAGCTAAAAGAAAACGGGATACGAAGGAAATGCTGCAACTAAGGGAGCAATAGCGACAGAGAACAGATGACAAGAGAAGCAGGTAGCCCTGTCGAAGCGAATAGGAGACTCGGGGAACGAGGAGCTGCTGTCTCCGCCCAGTGGCAAAACCAAGTACGAGCTGGCCGACCCGAGACGGAACTGCTGCAGAACAACTCAAACTCTGAAGTGACAGAAGTGGCTCAAGTATGGCAAGGGTAACGAGGGTTCCGTGAATCGCTGCAGAAGAACATCTGTGGCTCACAGTTGAGAAGTTCTTTGCAGCACGGTAGAAATGGATATCTTCAATGCAGTATCGTTAATGGTACAAATAATGCAGGTCATCGTTGCGAGGAATTTGTGAACAGTTAGCATGGCAGAGAGCGTCAGTACACACCGAAATTCCCTGAATTGACTACAAAGTCCCATATACAGCCTTCCTGGGACAAACTGTTAAAATTCCGACATTTTCAGCAATAAGTCCCACGCCTGCGGCAGCTTTAATTCACCCAGTCCACACGGTCCTTAAGAAGTGTTCCTCGGTGTTACGTAGGAACCTAGCACTTTCCGTATTACAAGGAACTACGAAGAAATGCTTTAAGCTAAAAGTGAAAGTGACATGTTATAAAAACAACAGACGAGACAAGACCCGGGGCAGCTCGCCGTCTCGGCGGCGCCCGGAACGGACGAGAGTGGCGAGCCGCTTGCAGGAGCAAGCCGGCTGTCGCGGCTTCGCCTAATCAATAGCGCGAGCCGCCTGCCAGCGCGTCATGGCAGACCCGAGTCGGCTCGCCCATGGTCTGATCTCGCTAGCAGCACAACCCGATTCGACGCCTCTGGCAATCCCCTCAGGACTCACGAATCAAATTCGCCCACCGACCTCTAGCACGACGAACCGAGTACGTTTGTGGTATGAGGTCTTGGGTGTTCGATGTGATGTGGTTTTGAGCCGCGCCAATTACACCGCTTTAAAAACGATAAAGCTCTCGGCATTGGTTTATCTCTGAAGGATGTGCCATGCATTCGACTTCATTAAGCATCGTTTGAAGGTGATTGAATGTATGTATCTGGCGTTTACAATGACTCGCGGTGACCTACCGATCTATCGGGCCAGTGCTCCTATCCTCCCAAACAAATCTGGTATCAATTTGCCGGACCCGGAGGGATGGATGGCTTGATTAGCCTGGAGACTAAGATCGATCCCACGTGTATTGCATGGCGCTTCCAGCCACTGCGCCACGAGCGCCGCTATATCATTGTAGAAACGGGCAAATAGGCGACAGTTAACATATTCTTGTAAGTGAACTCACTTAGAGAACTCTGCATTTATTTCTACTTTATTTTTTAGAGGCCACTCTTACAACAGCTGCTACTAAATTTAGTTTTTGGTCGGCGCAACAAAGGCAAATAATCAGCACGTCGGAGATCCGTCGTGAGATAAGCAAGCCTACGGTTTTTTATACCAACACTTTCACAATAGACATTGGAATTTTTTCCAGCTCTTGTCATAAAAAATAGTCGGTGACCAGAGAAAGAAAGGTACAGTGAAAATCAGACTAAGTAAGTAACATTACCTAGACGTTGAATGTATTAACAAATATGAGGAGGTAAATACTTAAGGGTGATTGCTATTGAACAACAATCCATAGCATAAGTAAGCTCCAAGAGCACTGCCAAGGAAAAATTACTGACGAGTCGTAGTGCTTAATTTCATAGAAACGGCACAGACAAACATCTGCAAAGATCTGTAAGCAGGAGATTACGGTAGTGAAGTTTATGAATAACTTGTATATTTTTATCTTCGGTAGTTACGTCTTCTTCAAACCTAGTTCAGCCCAGCATGCATTTTAAAACGTTATCATTCTTCCTTATATCTTTCTTATCAAGGTAAGTGACGTTTTAGAGAAGAAAGGATCACTTCTGCTTTGGACCAAAATGACTCAATTTTAACTCATTACTTACTGCCTGACGGCAGGGTATGCATTGCGAAATATAACTTCAATGATGCTGAAATATTTGCAGAACTTCGGACCGCGGGTGTATGCGGTGGGGAACGAACGCCTGATTGTCCTTTCCGGGGAGTAGCGCGTTCACCATCACACCACTCCGGTCCGGTCCTTCGTTTCGCCTGTCTCTCAGCTAGTTCTATCGATGTGGTGGTGAACGCGCTATCCCTCGGAAAGGACAATAGCGCGTTCGTCCCTCACCGCATACACCTGCGGTCCGGAGTTTTGCAAATATCTCAGCATCATCAAAATGACTCATTTCAAAATAGAATAGCTTCCGTTGCATTCCCTATCTTTGATCACATGATTCAGGAACTTTGAAACGTGCTTGTGAGCTCTGATACGAAACGATCCGGGATCTCCTCGTGCTACAAGACTAATCTGATTGGGGTTTCTTTGCGAATACATTATTATCTCCTTATCACTGTTGCATAGTGGACTTATTTCTTCTGTCACAACCATCATCTTTTACAACAACGTCTAAAGATTGACTCTCCCAAACTTTTGACACCTACACTGACATTGTTCTCTTTTAACACGAACAACATTTACAAATGATTTTAATAGAAAAGTACAATTCTGATTCATTTCAATAGCGAATAAACTAACGAGCGGTGGTGAATCACAAGACCATTTTCAGAATCGTGGATAGAAAATGCATACAATGGGGTTGAGAGACAAGTAGAATGATAAGGTCCTTTTTTCTACTCTGTGTAAATTGCATTCGTAGTCGCTAAACAAACACTGGAAAAACATTGGAAATAGTTGAGAAAAGCGACCGAGAGAAAGGCGAAATGGAAGACTCGCATGGCGTTGTGGCGAACACGTTAGTCCCCGGAAACAGTAATACCGTTTTCGATCCCCACAGCGGACACCAACGGTCCGGAGTTTTGCAAATATCTCAGCATCATTATGGTTGTATTTCACATAATAGCCTACTTGCTATTAAAGAAAAACAGGCAGTAAATAAAAAGTGCCGAGATAGGAAACTCGTGTAAAATGAAAGTCGTCAGCTGAATCCTCTGAAACCGATACCCATGAAAAGTAACTAGACACTAAGGGCTTGGCGAGCCAGTGCTTACATCTGCCCAAACCCTACTAAGTTGGACGAAAATGCGAGCCGCCCAGGAGAGAGGTAGTTATGCATCTTCGTATCGTATCGTCGTATCATTATCACTTCCGAAAGTCTTCTTTTTCGTCTAATCGATTTTGACGACTCATCGGAATTGACGACAGACCTGACGACAAGTGTATGGTGTGTAGGGGATCAAACAGGAGGCTGAGCAGCAGCGAGGAGAAGCTGGCTACCTCGAGACGACGGCGGACGGCTGACAAAGCTGCTTCCGTCACCCACCGAGCAAACACTGATTCCAGTCGGATCAAATCCGCTCGCTATGTGGCGGTTTGCTAGCGCTTCCACAAAGTGGGCACCGTACTGCTCTTTCACCTTCTGACTTCTTCAAGCAGCATAGAACAGATCGCTTTTATTCGTAGCGATAATATTGCATAGTGTTAATCCGCATATTGAAACCACATAAAACATCTAGTTAAAGAAATGTCGAGCACTTCTACTGGATTTATAGCGCTAGAATCAACACGACTTTTTCCTCGTATGGTTATGAATTTCTGATGACGATGATGATTCTGTGCGTGGCTGTTCTGCCTAGTGCGGTAAAATCTTTCTTGTACGAGAAAAACAATGTATTGACAGGCGAAGAACAGGTTTTGATAGGATCACACCATCTCCCAAGTTCTCATGAGAAAGGTAGAGGTAATGGGGGTTACACAGAGACAAACTGAGGGGCACGGAAACAGTGAGAAGGCGAGAGCGAGCGTGGGCGGGTACGGTGACGGCCGTGCTTACACATCACCTTATCTATTATTAGACACATCGAGTAGGGATCGTAGGAGTTCTTCAATTGGTAAAATGCTTTATACATAGGTTTGGACGAAACGCTGCCTAATTACGATTAATTGATAAAAAGTTTTTCAAAACGTTTCCTATTTCTTATGAAACAGGACTCATTGAATGTGTTGAGTGTCAACCTTATATTTTCTGCCTACTATAATGCGCGAGCCCCCGGAAAGGGAAATCGTGGTTCGATCCGACCCGGTGTCCACGTTTTGCGAATATCTAAGCATCGTTGTAGTTGTGTTGAATGTGTTTGGAAAAAAAAAACTCGCAACGATTACCACCGGTATCATGGAACAAAAGAAAATGACGAAGAGAATTTTATAGCAGAGATTTTGTTGACGATGAAATCTTTACTCAGTCAATACCAAGAAGTTTCTTCTTCATGTGGTCGCTATCGTGCACGTTTCGACATTCCTGTGCCATTCTCTCGAACGAAATTGGATGGATCATTTGCGCTACCGAATGAATCTGACCGATGTTCAATTTCTAAAACACTTAATCGTTTTAACTGCAGTTCTGATCGCTCACTTAATTGTTCTAGTTCTGACTCTTAACATCTTGACGTTTAGACGCTTTTCTTCCTCCTGAGATACTCCAAAAATGAAGCGGTCGATTATTTGAACACATTTCCGTAATTTTTTTTTGTTACTAAGAACCATAGGACCAGGACCAGTTTTAAAGCCCATGCTATTTCCTACAACTTGTTTCCATCATGTACTGATGTCCGACGAAAATTAAGAAATTAGGCTGGTAAGCGTAAATGTATGGGATCGTAAAAGAGACGCAATAGGAACGTAATAGAATATGTAAAAGAATGCGGAGTTCTTTTACAACGAAATGGCAAAAGCATACAGGCAGACAAGATGTAAAGACACATTCATAGGGAGACAGCGATGCGGAAACGACGCGGAACGACGCGGACGACGCGATCAGCGACGGAAGTGGTCTGAAGGCGCTTGCGAGGGCAGCCGGTAGCCGACTGGGAAACGTAGCTAGCTGCTACACTACAGGGGAAGAGACAGGCCATTCCGTAGCAGAAATGCAAACGGCCAGAATGACTCACTGTTGAATGTCAAACGCTCAACAATGTAGAACAGAAAACAACACAAATATCAAAAATTTACCAGAAGTGCATCTTCAGCGTCAGGACACTCTGCAATAAATTCCTGGAAGTAGCATACTGTAAAGCATTCCAGCGATCTGAAAGACAAACATAATTCAACATATAGTAAAAGACCATACTGCCATATTGATTAACACGTATGTGGGTGGGTGCATTAACTTAGATGCATGCCGTTCATTGCTATTTCTCGGCTGTAATGAGTTTTTGCTAAAACTTCTCTAGTTGATGGACAACTTATTCAAGACAAATGTCGTCCCAAGTATGTTCTGTGAAAAGCTATTCTTTACACTTTAATAATTGACATGATCCGTTTTTCCTACGAGTTTGTTCGTCTGAATCGATTGCGACTTGAACAAAAATTTGGTCATGTGGTGCGGGGTACTAGTGTGTCTGCTGTTTTTCACACTGAGGTTCGAAACCTTGGCCATGTCGCCGCCACGTTCAGTTTCTAAATAACTGAGAATACTTGTACGGAACTGTTTGAAATAGTATGGGGAAGGGCCTGGCATGCACATGCTGCGCATTTAACAACGTGCAGAGCACATTTCTGGAAAGACTGCATATTCCCAGTTTTGATCCTCATAATCTTTCACAGATTTTATAGACGTTTTAGTTGGAAACATATGTACTATGTCTTTCAAATCTCAAAATTAACACCTCTTCCATTAGAATCAGCACAGCCCACAACTTTTGAAATGTACACTTCTTGCACGTAGTTTATCTACGGTTACAGTCATTACAATACGATAAACTCTACGCATTAAAATCTGTACAACCTTTGGAATTTCTATTGACGAGATCAATAAGAGAGATGACTGAACAATTTGCCTCATCCATGATATTGTCGGTCAAATGGGTATGAGTCAACAATGTTCCAAATTTGTATCCTGTCACTTCAGACACAAACTGAACCCATGAAAGAACAGGTGCTGCAATAATCCTTCAACTTTGATTGTCAAACATTTCCCATCTAAAGGTGGAAACCCAGGAATTGTTTCAATTCTTTTGGAGGTTTTCGATTCCTATGACTCGTGCCTCTTTTGTCCGCATTTAATGGTTCCAAAGTTCCCAAAAATCAACCGCATGAGGCTCATAAAAGTGCTCTGGTTCCGTGCATCTATGCAGGAGAAGCTGGATTACTCCAAATTGACATCGAGAATCAAATTATATTGTTGGTGCACTCTACGGATCCACCATCGCCACAGGTATCGTCGCCACCTTCGTCCTCATCGTCCGATTCACCTTTTCGAGACTCTTCGACGGGAAGCGAAAGAATGTTTTTTTCGCCTTAAGAAATTTCACTGAAAAGCTCAGTCATAAAGTGAGAAACACAAAGAGAGAGAGACGGTGTTTTGTGATAGGCAAAATGGATCGCAAAAATCCATTTCAATCTAATCAAGGAGCGGTGAAAATTCCGAATCTGCTTGTGTGCCAAGCAATTTATAAAACAAACTCACCTTGGAGCAAACCTATACCAACGTGAAGGAGGGTAAGCTAGTCGTGGTCACATTAACACCAAAACCACTAATAACAGAAAGTTTGGTACCAAAGCGTAAAACTTTTAGAGGCGGTACAGTGAGTAGAGTCCACTAAAGAGCTCAGACGAGGTACAAATACGAATGAAGACTTACCAATTCCTCTAATTCCTACTTCAGTTACTCAAATAATTGGGAGAAAAACTCACAAACACCCGATCTTCATCTTCTTCTCTTCTTCATCCGTTTTTTCCACCTTATATCCATTATGGCATCTGTTTTTGCATACTAAAACATCAACATAAAGCTCCAACTATTTCATAAGGAGTTTCTTTCACTGTAGTGCATAGATGACCAAATATATTTGAGGCTAAAGCACGCCTCATTTCTCAGATTTTCATTCCAGTCTTTTCTGAGAAGTCCATAATTCTTAATAAGTGCAAATTCGCAAAAGAAGTTACCGGCATCGGAATCCTTTGCAGCACTTCTGAGACACGGAAGATGAGGCTCAAGATCTGAAGAAATCGCTTTGTGCTACAGTTTGATTTAGGTGTTGGTATTAAACAAAAACCAGTTAAAACACAATACTATTTGAAAAGCCAAAGACTGGAAACTTTAGAAGGAAACCTTAAAAAAAAACTAAAAACCAAGATAAGACCGTTCGAGACAAATCTTTAGATCGAACCCTACCTAAATTGGAAAGGTTCTCGCACTCAATCAATGAATTGGGGTAGCGACTTATACTAGAATGAGGTGAGAGGTGGTCGAGCTGTCATTCGAGTTGATAAAAAATCAACAATGGATACTTGTGAAGGTCTAAAAGACTTTTGTAAAATTTTTAAATCTACATATGCAGTGACTGTATCTTTATCAGATGTGAAGTATGAAGAAAGAGTGCCAATGAAAAATGCATTGCATTTTCCTCCATAGAGCAGTTCACTTCGTGTGCAGTGTTTCTGCCCGGCTGAGTGATCCCTTGGATTATTAACGTCAAAAAAAAGGAAAAGAAACACCATACGTGGACTTATCTATTTTATTTTAAGTAATAAAGTTCAATCCGACGAATCTGCCCTATATGCTGAAATTTTAAGCTAACAAGAAGGACACGTGTAGCGCAGTAGTTAGAGGCGCCTTGCAACAAACATGGGTTCGACCCCGAGTCCCTGGATCACCCAAGTCTTCCAACCTTCCGGGGTCTACAAATTGATACCAGACCAGCAGCACTGACTCGATACATCGGTAGACCACTGCGAGCCATTGTACAGAGCAGATATGCATTCGTTCACCTCTAACGAGGCCTCATGAAGTCGAGTGCATGGGGCATCTCCAGAGGTTCATCACCACCGAGAGTTTTATCCTTTTTCTATGATAACAAGTTTGACCTGACAAAAGCAATAGTGTGAGATTTGTAATACAGAAACTAACCTTCTTCGTAGTCGACACAGTGGATTCTGTAGAACGTTGTGTATTGGTAAAATTTCTGCTGATCCTCTCTAGAACACTTTTGTACACAGTACGCTCCAGCTTCCAAGGTGTCGCACACCTATGAAATGAGCTACAAGTAAAGTTGTTGAGAGAAAGCTTTTGTTGCTTACCTTTTACTCATTACACTCAATACACATTTACAAATCTGCTCTTTCACATTCCATTCCATTTTATTCTGCGGCTTCAATATTCTCGTTCCTCATCTACACTGTTCATTTATAAATCTACGTCATCTACTTCGAAGTCGTTGTTTCGAACACACTATATGTTACATCAGAAGCAGTTACCGTTCAAACGAGTCCATGATAAGCCTCCACCATGCATTTTGCTGCAACTAGCTTCAGAAAGTATAAAATATAATTTACCTTTTATCAATCAGGTAATTTTCACCTTTAGCAAATGACTTGAGGATCGGTAACATCTTTGAAGCCAAACAGTGATATAGAATGACGTCTCCGAGTTCAACTTAAACTCTTCAGTGAGAATGCATTCATTACTCACGTCACAACCCGCGTCAAAACTTCAAATCGTATTTGAGAAACTTACAAATGTCGCCTAACAATCGTCACTCATAGGCACAGAACAATCGTATTTACAATGACAGGCACTCCTAGGCCAAATTTTTCGCGGTCGACGCATGGAAGAACCCTTACTGCTCCCCGCTCTCTCTCTCTCTCCCACTCTTTCTCTCTTTCTCTCTTTCCCTCTCTACGAAACCCATAGAGGTCGCACCGCGCAGAGTGTGCTGCCGCAAAAGGCATCTATATAGAGCACGTCATTGCGAGCCTGTTAAACAAATTGAGGATGAGGCAGCAAAACTGTCTTCTCACGTAAATCATTCTGAACCTGAGTTTGCATTCCATTTCGGATTGAATGGAAATGAGCGATGTTGGCTATAATGCTGAGATATTTGCAAAACTCCGGACCGCAGGTGTCTGCGATGGGAAACGAACGCGCGCTATTGTCCTTTCCGGGAGTAGCGCACTTCACCACCACACCATGCGGCTCGTTTGTTTCGCTTGTCTCTCAGCTAGTTTTATCAATCAATCCCGTTGACGGGTGATTGCTGATGGCAAAAGATCGATAGAACCCGCTGAGAGACAGGTGAAACGAAGGACCTGCATGGTGTGGTGGTGAAGTGCGCTACTCCCGGAAAGGACAATAGCGCGCGTTCGTTACCCACCGCATACACTTGCGGTGCGTAGTTTTGCAAATATCTCAGCATTATATACGAGTTATATTTCGCAACATTCCCTGCCATTAAAAAGAAAAAGGCAGTAAATAAAAGGGTTAAGAAATAGTCTACGTCATTTTCGAGTCGGGCTTTATACGAAGGCCTTCCGTTGCAGGAGCTTAGTGGTGGCAACGATAGGAAAAAGCGAAGCGCATAGAATATGGTAATAGGTGCTTATGTAGGGAAATTTTCACGGTTTAGCACGTTTTTTTTGGATTAATCCGACCTGGTTCTGATTTTTGGTAATGCAAAAGACGATAACTATGGAGATAGGGTGTTCGCACTGTTATACAACATTCCCTACAAATTTCACGAACAACAGAAGGAAATCATTCCACGTGAGCACCCTCTCATTTTATAAGACAGCAACCACTCTGTTGCACCTAGCCGTTTCTGGCAGCACGGTCGAGAATAGATAGGTAGCAATGATATATATAGTACATATGAGTTTGAGTGGTCCTACAGAGGATCAATGCATAATCTCCCAGCTTATTCCTTATCAGAGCTAAACTGTAATAGCTGACCTTGCACAAAAATTAAAACGAATGTATGCCGTAGTGAAGCAACAGCTATGAAAAGACTACGACTCATTAGAAACTTCCACTCACATGTTCGTAGTTGTTAAATACATAGTGGAAACTCCGCTCCAAATTCGCTAGCGGTAATATACACTTCTTCAAACACTCGCTGTCTTTCTCATCTGAGAGCGCTCCTGGAATACAGAAAATGGTGATAGGTAAATATATATAGTGCATTTATTGTTATTATAATATTTGCGTAACTCATTAGCACGTCTACTGTACGGATCCCAGCACTTCTTACTTTCGTTTCGTTTTACTCCCACTCATCGACCACAATGGTCTTGGAACATTTCGCATCTTGTTTCAGCTGCCGCTTGAGGACTTCGTGTTCCTTATGAATGTAATAAGACGCTGGTCGGGTGAATTTTTCCAATCCTGGAGATTTCCAATCCTGGAGACAAAACTAAGGGGTTTCAGTGGATTGGACCATGAATGCCCAAAAAAACTCCACCATGCTGCATGATGAAAGCAAACCAGTATTAGACCGTGGGAAAATATTAAAGACCAGATTTTCATGCAGGACGGCGCTCCTACAAATTATAATATTATCGCTCGTGAATAGCTAAATATTTGCTACACTGGGAGATGTACGGATTGTCGTGGTCTGCATGAGTGAGCACAAGAAGACCTGACCTAAAATCCTACGACTTTTTTTTTCTTTGGGGCTGGTCAAATAATACTCTACCAAACAAATGACTTTAGAAGAACTCTAAGGTCGAGTACGATAAGTTGTCTTCGATCTTGGTGAAATCAATCGATGCAGTTCCAAGGTTAATGAAGGTGGCGAATGTTGGTACCCACATCGATGTTCAACACTCCAGCGTCAACGCTTAAATCTCGGGTTAGTTACGGACTAGACGACATATGATTTTCAGCCATTTTGAAATAGTCGTTTTTTGAGCATAAAGGCTAATTTTTCGATAATTAGAGTACTTTACGGGTTGTGAACTTGAATGGACGAATGGATTGCAGAGAAGACTTTGCTCTATCGTTCTACGGGCATGAACGATATTTCTGGTGCTATTTACTATGTGTTCCACGAATCTCCCTCATACGGGGGAGGCGGCTAGTCACAAGACTACGTGGCGCGCCCCCACGTGGCGGACAAAGGGGAATCGCAGACCAAAAGCGACCTTTGCTTCCTTGAGATGAAAGTGGATCCATGGATCCATGGATGGACTCCCTGTTTCTGCTGCGCTGATTTGCACATACTTTCTGTATTTGCTAGGTGTATTCATGCATGCGTGTGTGGGTGCGTTCTTGCTTATGCGGATTTTATTCTACAAGTCAATTCAGCCAAAAGCCTGCAATCAAGTGACAGGAAAGTATATGAGAGGCGGTTAGGAGTCGCCTCGAACAAACAAGCTCCATGCTCACTCTGGAAGCGTCTGGTAAACTACTCGTGAGTATACCCAGCCCCACGTTCAGAGCCCAGAAATCTATACGTGGGTATCGAAAAGCTAAAAACAGTAAAATAAACAGGCTTCATTCCCCGTACCTCGAAGGAGCCCTCAATTTTTGCAGCGTTGGGTAGGACGAGTACGGAGAGACTGCAAAAATCACAGGGCCAATGGAGGCTGCCTGGATTACAAAGAACTATGGTGACGATCTATACCTACAATGCACGTACACATGCATCCGAGTCCTTGGATAGAAGACTTGCTCATGTAAGCAAGAAGGGCAAGGTACGACGTCGTGGGCCTGGCCCTGACGAGACGCCACCACCCATTCATCGCCGTCTATGACACCGGAGAAAACTGTTCCTCGGAACATGCGACAGTAGAGGATTCGGCGGCGTCGGCGTTCTCGCCAACACGGGTTTGTCCATGAACAACGATTCATTCGAACAGCTTGCAACCCGAATCGGACGTTTACGTTTAAAAAGATGTGGATTAATGCCGGCTTTGACAATCTTCGTCGTTTGCGCTCCGAAGTCAAACTATGACGAAGAAGAAATCGAAGAGTTCTATATGAACTTGGAGATGTTCTACAGAGAAAACCATACATTCTTCAACGTCATCATTGGAGAATTGAATAACAAGATTAGACCAAGAAGAACCTCTGAAGAACGTCACATTGGAACCAATGGATTGGAATGGAACGAACTGGATCAGCGGCTATCTGAGTTTATCATGACGACCAAGACTATTCACGGTAACTCGCAATTCGAGAAGCACCACCCTCAGCGCTGGACTCCTACTTGGGAGTCTCCCTTCCAGTGGACAGTACCATAATAAAATAGACCATATCATAGTAAATAGAAGGTTTTGCCTAGTCGATGTCGTTGCTGTCCCAAAATTCTATACGGGATCAGACCACCGTCTCCTTCGTGCAAGATTCTACTTCTTGCGGAGAGGAGAAAGAACCGCTAAATTCAAAAACCGTAGTTTCAGAACCACCGTAAACTGGGACCCTACTTAATTCATTAGTCGGCTGCTGCTAAAAAGATGCCGTTGTCGATAATATTAACGAAGAATACGATCGACTGATTGAACATCTTCGCGTTAGTGCAAAGAAAGCTGAGAGCTCGAAAGTCACCAAGAGACGTCTGTCTCTAGAAACACTCGAGCTAGTGTGCTAGCGTGGAATCGCACGAGCTGCAGGCCACCGCAAACTAACATCCGAACTTGCAAAACAATGCAGACAGGCGATAAAAGAAGATCTTAAAGAGAGAAGAGCAGCAATAATGGTCGAAGCTGCAGAGACTGGGAGACGCATTTGCAAAGCCAAGCCAAGCTTCGCCAACTGCAAAACGAAGATGATTGCACTCCGACGCCCAGACGGAACAGTTACAACGTCCAGAAAGGTAATGAAGAAAATCATTCACGAATACCACACAGATCACTTCGACGGCCACGTCTACCTTCCTTCATATGAAATAAAGGAGGATGGATGCTGTACCACCGGTTCTCCCTTCCGGATCCCGACATGCCATTTCGTCGGTGAGAAATCGAACAGCGGCAGGTCCGCCCAGGATAAGACCAGAACACTTGAAGAACTTTTCACTCTGGTCATTCTAAACAGAATTGACAGAACACTGGACGAAGGACAGTCATGTGAGCAAGCAGGGTTTCGAAAAGGATTTAGTACGATGGGCCACACCTACACAATAACAAGACTCATTGAAGTATCACGAGAGTACAAAAGACCGTTTTGCCTCACTTTCACCGGTTTAAAGAAGGCCTTGGAAAAATTGAGATTGAAGCAGTCATGGAGCCCTTCGATAGTCAAAGAGTTCCTACTCAATACACAAAGATTCTTCGTGAGCTGTACAAAAATTTCTCAACCAGGATATCACCTTAATAACTCGAAAGACCGACTTTCTATAAACCCCGGCATAGATAGCTGATATATTTACTTAGGTGATCTTATAAATTGATTTTGAAGTGACTATGCGGATCCTAGCGCAGGAATCAAAAACGTCAACGCGCAAAACTCTTGAGGCGTTTTGGATAACTTTCAAAAATCCAAAGATGAACCGGAAAGACAAAAGCCTCACTATCACACGTGACGTGGCGCCCTATTTCAAAATGATATCTTGACCCCGGGGTGTGTCTTGTTCGCGAACGCACGTGAACAAAGTGTGGGCCAGTCCCACACATAACATCATGGTGAGTGGCCTTTCTGTTCAATATGGCGTGTATTTGAAAGTTTGATCTTCATTAATACTTTAACCTTTTTCTACGGAATAATGAAAATATTCTGATATAAAATACGTCCAGGTTCTGAGGAAGGCAAAGTCGCCGAAACGTCAGCCATCGACCAACAACATCAAAAACAACGACAACGAAGACCTGTAGCAACCTCGAATCAGCTTAAGAAGATCAGTTTATAAGATCACATAAATAAATATATCAAGATATCACCGTTCTACAACGATATTAATATTGACGTCAAAAGAGGGATTAGGCAAGGCGATACCATTTCGCCAAAATTATTTACCGCCACCTTTCAGAATGTCATGCGAGGACTGGAATGAGATAATATGGGAGTGAAAATCGATGGTCGGCAGTTACATCATTTTCGCTTTGTTGATGACATTGTCATTATAACATCAAATATTAGCCAAGCGGAACGTATGCTTGTCGACTTTGATAAAGCCTGTGTTAAGATTGGTCTTCGACTAAACTCACAAAGACGATGTTCTTGAAGAACGGGTTGGTTTTGCATGCCCTATTCACGCTGAACGGAACGAATATCTCCGAATGCTCCAGTTATATCTATTTAGATCGGGAAATGAATATAATGAACGACCTAGCTCCAGAGCTGAGCAGAAGAAAACGAACGGTTTAGGGAGCTTTCAAGAGCATCGAGGATGTAGTAAAGAGAACATCGAGGGTGTAGTGAAGAAGACAAAGAACACGCGACTCCGTGCGCACCTTTTCGAGTGAACAGTGCTTCCTGCCCTAACGTATGCTTCAGAAACCTGGTTGCTGCGTAAGCAAGATGAAAGATCACTCAGCGTTATCGAACGCGCAGTCGAAAGGACGATGCTTGGAGTATCCCGTTTCACATAATTAAGAAATGGGATCCAAAGCTCAGATCTGCACCAACGATTGAAAATCAAAGATGCCGATCTGTACACCAAACAGTCGAAAATGAGGTGGTCCGGACACGTAATGCGTATGAACGACGTGGTGGAACCGATGGACACGAACCGTTAGTGACTGGATTCCTCGGGATGTCAAACGTACTGCAGGAAGACCACCGATCCGATGGTCAGAGTTCTTCACGAAGAGCCTAGAAGAAGGATATGATGCTCGACGAATCCCTAGAGAGAGCAAAACCCACTGGGCTACTCTTGTACGCGACAGGGAAAAATGGATGTTTTACTGGCGCCCTCTCGAGTCACTCGACGATCAACGGGACGAAAGGTGATTTCACACTTGATATTTGCGGCTCGTCCTCACTGGTTGTGCTGGCTCCAGCATAATCACCTTTTATCGGAGATTTGCTGGCTAAGCTATTGTGGTTCCCTGGAATATCGAGGTCTGCCTGGCCAATGTCTGGCCCATACAGGTGATTTACTATGTATTATTATGGTTCCTCATGGAAATGCACTACTGGCAACCTTTGAAGATGTTTTGCAACTTATGGGTCTCTATTTGAGCATTTTTTTACGAGCACACTCTATATGGTAACTATGATTCATTGAAGCAAGTATAATTCTAGCA